AGGACGATAGATGTTTGATAGGAAAGAATGAGGAGAGATAAGGACGATAGATGTTTGATAGGAAAGAAGGAGGAGAGATAAGGACGATATATGTTTGAAAGGAAAGAAGGAGGAGAGATAAGGACGATAGATGTTTGATAGGAAAGAAGGAGGAGAGATAAGGACGATATATGTTTGAAAGGAAAGAAGGAGGAGAGATAAGGACGATAGATGTTTGATAGGAAGGAAGGAGGAGAGATAAGGACGATATATGTTTGATAGGAAAGAAGGAGGAGAGACAAGGACAATAGATGTTGGATAGGAATAAAGGAGGAAACCATATCAGAGCACTTTCCAGCCACATTTGTATGTTGAATTACTCTTGAAAAAAGGGCATCAGATATACCTATAAGATAACGTGATAGAAAATAAGATAAGTCAAGGTTAAGAAATGTTTAAAACGAAAACAAAGCAAACTTAAGATAAGATAAGATAAGATAAGATAAGATAAGATAAGATAAGATAAGATAAGATAAGATAAGATAAGATGAGCCCCAGCCCATAACCCAGACACACACACAAACACACACAAACACACACACATACACACACTCACACACACACACATACACACACACATACACACACATACACACACTCTCTCACACACACACATACACACATAACATGCACACACACACACACACACACACACATACACACACACACACATGCACACAGATAAACATGTCCGGGTCAGGAAATAGAGGTAACCACGCCACGCATTGAACAGTTTGGTCTTACTTCGTACAGTTTGTCCCACTCAAAACTTAGAACAATTTGTCAAAACTTAGAACAGTTTGTCAAAACCTAGAACAGTTTGTCAAAACTCAGAACAGTTTGTCAAAACCTAGAACAGTTTGTCAAAACTTAGAACAGTTTGTCAAAACTTAGAACAGTTTGTCAAAACTTAGTACAGTTTGTCCCACTCGAAACCTAGAACAGTTTGTCAAAACTTAAAACAGTTTGTCAAAACTTAGAACAGTTTGTCAAAACTTAGAACAGTTTGTCCCATTCCAAACTTAGTACAGATAATCCAAACTTAGTACAGATACTCCAAACTCAGTACAGATACTCCAAACTCAGTACAGATACTCCAAACTCTGTACGGATACTCCAAACTCAGTACAGATACTCCAAACGCAGTACAGATACTCCAAACTAAGTACAGATACTCCAAACTCAGTACAGATACTCCAAACTCATACAGATACTCCAACCTTAGTACAGATACTCCAAACTCAGTACAGATACTCCAAACTTAGTACAGAATATCCTACTCAAAACTGTCTTGGGTTTTGGCAAAGAACTTTGGAATGTCGGCACCAATGTATATCAAACTTTAACTAGACTAGTTGTCTTGTATCTATTCTCTATTTGTGGTGGCCCAATCTTGCTATTCAAAAGGCTTTTAAATGGCTGCATCGATCGACATGCGGTTTTCGCCAAAAGATTCTTTAAAATATTCTCCAGAGCATGACGCCCTTGTTTTTTTCCGTTTTGAGACAGTTTTGCTGCAAAAAAAACCCCCTAAACTTCTTTATTTCTCCGATCACTTTTGTAGGCCGACGCTTCTGTCTCTGGAATTTTAGAAAATCCGAAAGTGATTTTTCGCGAGGGGCATTTTGTTTTGAGAGTATAGATCTAGATCTAGATCTTAAAATGTTTTGCATCTCACAAGATTTATTGCCCCATTCCAGTAGAGTGTAAATATAGTAGGCCAATGACTTTTAGTTGATATTAAAGCACCGATCATTCCTTTCATCGAAAGGGGGCCCAGCTAGTCTATTATATTACTATTAGTCTTTAATGTATTGTGAACAAGGGGCTCTTTCTACCCTATACTTACCTCAGATAGATAGATAGATAGATAGATAGATAGATAGATAGATAGATAGATAGATAGA